ATGGAATGCGTACCGAATCTCAAGAAGGGATTAATCAACAACGAGTGCTTTATCCTTCATTCACTAACGAGAGGGGTAAGATCATTAAGAAGATCAGGGGCCAGGTGGACCGAACGCTTTCCGATTTTGTGATAGTCGTTGGACAAGAGCGATTACCGACTGGATCTCTCGGAGCATCAATCGAACATGAAGACGATTGCCGGCCCAATGGTCAGACGTCTTCGCGAAAGCTTTGCACGAAAGTAATAATGAGCTGCGTTTCCTGAGCTGGAAGTGTCGCGATTACTTGGCAAGCGACAGGAAGGGAGTAGGGGAACGTTGCTCGCTCGAGCAAACCGGTGTTCAACGGGTTGACAGGTGATACAGGTGATACCGATGAACTAAGGTGGATGATAGGGGACCACTACCTTACTCCAAGTTTCAAGCCAACTAGGTCTATCAAGGTTTTCTTCCCTTCTCGGTCAACCAGCTCCAGCCTGTGTACACAAGAAAACTGAGATTTTGTCTCTTGAAAGATCGATCCCTTTTACTCTAGTTCCGCTTTTAGGCCGGTGCAGGGCCAACCGATCTATGACGCTTATACGGGCGGTACAGTGAATGGATGCAATACGGACAATAATTGTATAAGTGTATTTTCTGGATCCATGTGCGGACCGCAAAAGCTTTGCGGTTTCAGTTTTCCAACAACCGCTGGAACTACAAGTGAGTTTTTTCCCTCATTTTCCCTGACGCGAGTGCACTATCCTACAGTTATTGCCTCAGTAAGGCCCAGTGCCTTCTTGTCTAATTAGTATTCGTCTACCTCAAGCTGCTCCACTTATCGTCATCGGTGGTTTGATGGTAGAATGCTCGTTTGCCACGTGGGCAGCCCGAGTTCGATTCCGAGTCGATGCATCATGTTCGTACTCGCATACAGTGATGGTAGGGCCTTCTTGGGACGTGCATCAAGCAAAAGCGATTTATTCGCGACTGATACACTCTACAAGCATAGAAAATATGCCTTCAAAATAATTACCCATCTTATCCTGTATTTTTTGCTCGCCCGCTTCTACCCGCTCGTTCAACGTTACCCTGGTTGCGACATCATTGTCGAAACCAGGGTGACAATGTCATCGATAGTCGAAGCTATCAAAAAAGGACTCCACGATGGGAATGAAGGCTGCAGAAAGGGATAATTGCTTAGTGTGGAGACAGGCGGATCTCCTGAAAGTGCGGACTCGGCGATCTAGCATGGCTCACACTTGGCGCATTAGGCGAAGCACGCCCATCGATGATTTCACTCGCAGCAGATTTATACGCAGAGAGTCATTAGATGGCAGAGAGAGCGTTATATTGAAGAGGGCACAACGATTGGAGTCGCATCAATGCCGACATCAAGGCCAAAGGGAAGGATCCCACTCCCCGGGTTTTGGGCCGTTCCTCATGGTTTTCCTTCTTTGTGGTATCACTCACCATCCCTAACTTAATTTGGGGCGGGTTGCTTTTTCATCGTAACTTCTGCCTTTAAGTTCATACACTTAGTTTACTGGCGCGTCTAAATGGACGTATAACTAAATGAATGGATCTAGAAAAATATGACTTCGAGTCCAATTTTAGCAGTAGCCACCACAACTACCGAAGCCACAACAACACCTACCGAAGCCACAACAACTATGGAGGCAACAACAACTATGGAACCTACAACAACTATGGAAGCTACAACAATGGAAGCTACAACAACTATGGAACCTACAACAACTATGGAACCTACAACAACTATGGAGGCAACAACAACTATGGAAGCAACAACAACTACGGAAGCTACAACAACTATGGAAGCTACAACAACTGTGGAAGCTACAACTACCATGGAAGCTACAACAACTATGGAAGCTACGACTACCATGGAAGCTACAACATCTATGGAACCTACAACAACCATGGAAGCTACAACAACTATGGAAGCAACAACGACACCTACCGAAGCTACAACTTCTACAGCAACGATGTCAACAACTGAAGCCACATCCACAGTAACAGAAGGTAAACCAAAACCATAATAGCTACTTTGACGATATTTGAATGCTGTCCAAGTGTAGGTCAAATTCAAATTCGAATTTCATCATGAATTACTCGAAGGAACCGGTTGCGCGTAGGCTACTGTACTGTCTTCAGGACTTAAAGGCACACCCTTCAGGCTCGTAGAGATTCCGCTTAAACATGAAAGTAATCGCGAAACGGAACGGGAGTTAAGCAAAAGAGCAGGGAATCAGAAATATTCCCTTTTCTTCACTTCCGTTCCATTTCGCGCCATTGCTTTATTTTTCAGCAGGATTTCCATACCAGCTTAATCGAGGGGAGTGCCTGCAGGTCCTGTAGGTTTGAAATATACAAAATCCGTGGAATGAAGCCTTTTTTCTTCTAAGCTCTTGAAAATTGATTCCAAGAGACAGCGAGATAAGAGTGCTTAGCACGGAGGAGAGGAAAGAATCAGTGACGATAAAGCATGAATGAGTTAGATTAGCGATGACTCCGATTCGTGAGCAAATGGCGGCTTCTGGAGGGATCTCATGCACAACATAAGCTCTTAGCGAATTCGAGTGGCAACTTTGTGCCGCCAGGTTAGGTAAGCCGTATACCTGCAGGATCCTCTACCTTTCGCAGTCAGATTTATAAGGCTCACGCTCTATTGCTTCGGGTTGAATGTGCAAAAAAATATCATGACTGTATTGTGCTTTTCAAATTTTTGTGCGGTGAAATGTGCGAAAAGACCCTGGCCACAGAAGGGAGGAGAGGAGAGGCCGCAGCGAACGAGAAGACGCAAACTCCACCAGGCCTGGTCGTCGTGGTGTGCTCCGCAAAAATAAAAACGATTCCTGCTTTCTGCGCGAGGCGTTTGCGTTGCGGATACCATGGTTCCACCACTACTCAAGAGTGTACCCGGGCTCCTACAGCGAAAAAAAAATTATCGCGCGCGACCAAAAAGTCGCTTTCTGTGCTAGCGACCCGGACGTCTACGAAATTCACTTGTATGACAACCTGACCATTCACCTGCGCTAGAGATAT